GATTTGAATATCTCAATCTCTATATTCATCTTTATTTGCTTGCCACGGGGATTTAGAAAGATTTAAAAATGTATTGTTCCCATACACATGACACCCTGCAAGGGGCTACAAATTTACAGAGCTCTACAAGAAATATAAACTAATCAAAACTTATTTTTATATAAATCAAACAAAGTTCAGATATTAATTCGGCAGGTAGGTACTAAATTAGTAATAAATCCGAGTACCAGGCAGAATGGCACTTATTTTTTATAGAATATTCTCTGAATTTTTAATTCGTTGAATACTCGTTGAAAATTTATTGAATATTTTCTCGATTTTAAATGCTTCGGTAAACAGTATCTACCAGTAATCGATGATTCTTTTTGGTTGGAAAGAGAGTACACGTCAAGTTTGACACTTTGGACCGTTCTTATCATAAGCGGCATAGAGCTGGATTTAAATCATAAGTAACAAGCTTTATGTGCTCTCATTGAAATTTGAAAAAAAAAAAATCCATCTCCAAGGGTGGCAAACTAGGGGATGAATCCGATTTCGCGCACGTTCCGGTAACCGATTTCAGTAAAACTTGGCAAATAGACGTAATTTCACGAACGTTTGAGGTCTTTTTTTATAAAAAAGTTATATTTAGGTAAATGAACTTGCTCCTTACCACCTAGTCCTGGAGCAAAGATCTATGATGGAACGAGTTCGCCCATAAAGATAGACCTTTTTCGTACCTTAAAGATACTCGGGTTGTATGTGTTCGGAAACACAGTCGCAGACAGAGAATTCTATTCCGGGCTGTGCGCATAATAAAAGATGACGAAAAGCGCATAGTACGACTGAAGGAAATATCAACCGATGATATGTCCGAAGGTAAAAGGGGACGGGCGAGATGAGCTGATGGAGCTCATGGGCATACAATAGGTATATCCCGTAGAATTAGAATATTTTGCAACCAAGTATGATCACAATTGTTTAACTTTGTCATGGCGAAATTCCATTCCGAATACATGAAACATACGCCTGTAGGAAGATAAATAGCATAGAATGAAAATTGTTTCCCATATTAACATGAGCACATCTGTCCACTTTTACAAAGCCCAACGAGATGCTAACCCCGCCAACTATTTCGCCCTCTTTTGTTTGGCCTGACTCAGCACGTGCGGTTAATTGTAGTTGTTGGAAAGTTCTTCAATTCGAAATAGGTGCCGAGAACGCGCGTTTCAAGGCCGCGCTGTAAAACTGGCTAGCATGCCAGCGGAATGCCATCTCAGAGTGGTTTCGTACAGTTTTTATTACTACCCGGAGGGACGTAGTGCAAAGATATGTAATGTGTACAAATGTGGTTTTATAGTCCTCCGCGTTACGGTCATTTGGGACGGTGTAAGGCTTGTGCTTTGTGGCTCCGATAGGACGCCAGCGTCAGGTCTGTGTAAGTTTCAAATAAAATGTATTTGTGTGGGATTAATTCCCAGATAAGTACTGCCACTTTAATTTCTGCCGCCAAGCGGTAATGTGAGTATTACTGCGTTCTGTTTTGAAGGGTAATGGAGTCATCTCATTTAATGTTAGTAATTTTTGTACTTGTTTTAGTTAAAATTGCCTCTAAAGGTGGCAAATTAGGGGATGAATACATTTTGAGGTAGGTTTTTTAGACATATACTGAGTTGGATCCGTTTCAGCTTATAGGTATATGTAATCGTTAATTTGTTTTGTTATGTTGAGTCTTCATAAGCTGAATAAACGTTTCTTTCTTTTATCGACTCGGAATCGCATTAAGCCGGTCAGAAAAATCTTTATGTCTGTGTATTAAAAGTGAAAATGACATTGTGTGTTTCACATTGGCGATTCGAGTTAAATACTTAAAGGTTTTTCTGACCGGCTCAAGGGCATTACGTAATACGTGTAATACGTGTAAATAAATGTGGTGAGTCCCTAAGGGTGCTGGTGAAAGTACAGCGCACATATGACTTATCAACTTATGTAACAGAGTGACGGGCGCAGTGGCAGTGCCACTCAAATATTTGCGATTTAAAACTCTGAGTGGCACTGCAACTGCTACGGACAGGTG